CTCTCCATAATTCATTAACAGTTCCTCTTCAGTTGACGTCGCACCCAGGAAATTGTCCACATAAAATTGTTTACTCATTACTTTACTCAATCGACTTTCCATACATTTAAGGTGTGCATTTATCGTTGCTCGAAGTAGGAATGGACTGGATGTAGCACCAAATAATACGCTCCTAAAGCGAAAGGTTTTCAGAGGGCTAAGTGGGTCACTAGGATTCTCAGGCCATAAGAAGCGGGTACAATCCTGGTCAGCCTCTTGTAAACCTACTCTTAGGAAAGCTTTACTTATGTCAGCCGTAAAGGCATAATGCTTCACTCTGAAATTTAATAAGATATCTCCCAATTTTTCCGTCAACGACGGACCTGTCATCAGTCATTTAAACTAGGTACATTTTTGTTACTCCTGGCACTACAATTAAACACAATCCTCAAAGGAGTGGTCTTAGAATCCTTCTTCTCTCCGTGATGTGGCAAATAGTGACCATAAATTTTGGCTTGCTCAGGAGGTACCTCTTCTATAAATTTATTAATTAACTGCTTAGCAATTATATCATTATAGGCAATTAACAATTCTGGTGTCTTACTCAGTTCGCGGAGCTGAGCCTTTAACTGTCCATATGCCATTCTGTAATTAGTGGGCAATTCTGGATGGTTCAGTCTCCACGGAAGTCGCACCCAGTATTGTCCAGATTCAAATTGTACATCTCTCAGGTGTTGCTCCTGAGTAAAAGAATCGTCTGGATTTTCTTCATTTACATTTATTCCAATGCTGTCTAATTCCCACAATTTATGCACTGGCTCAACACCATCCTCTATGGAAGAATTATACTGGGGTACAACTTCATGAGTAAGACACACAGTTATGGTATTTGTAGTTTCCTCTAGTCATGAATTATTATTACGAGGAATCCTACCATACATTACATGGCCTCCGCAGTCTTCAAAGGGTGACCCCAAACATTTCTTTACCATACCCTTTACAAAGGAGGCATAATAGTCACTACCTATCAAAATATTTATTGGGCCTACAGAATCATCACTTACACCAGAAGGTACTAAATTTACATTATGTGAGAGTCTTTCTGTAGCTTTACTAAGCCCTACTGTAGATATTTTCTCTGGAAGTCTATCTACAATTACTGCATTAACACATTTTTTCTCATTGCCCAACCTGACAGTTACATAAACAGTGTCATACAATTGAGCTCTTTTATCTGAGAGAAAACCAGATAATTTTAGAGATGTAGGATCTCCCATCTGTACTTTCGTACCATCAAGACATTTACGTTTAATGAAAGTACGTTGGGATCCCTGGTCTAATAATGCAGTTACAATTTTTGATTTATGCCTTTTATCATCAATTTTTACCTGTAACACAGGTAAGGCTACTTCAGCAAAACCATCATTATTAACATTAGCAGCAATTTTTACATTAGCTACTGTTGTGTCAGGATTGTCAACATTATCATTATTATCAACATTATCATATAGACCCTTACACATGACTATATGGTGTCTTCCTTTGTGGCATTGATAACAGTTGTTTAATTTGGCATGACAATCCTTTACATTGTGATTACCTAAACACCTGATACATCTGTCAAGTTCCTCCAATCTTTCAACTTTATCATTCCATGATTTGTATGCATTGCAATTCTTAGAAAAATGAGTACCCTTGCAGAAGAGACAATCTCTCTTTCCTTTGACTGGTTTCTTATTAACTGGGCTACTCTTAGGAGGGTACTTATTCTTCTTACCTTGTGGAGAATCATTATTTCTGATTCCTGCTACTTGATATGCACCTATGCAACTCTTTAGGAAATTAATTTTTATTATTACCATTGGGATAATTTTCCCTTTGTGAAACTTGACAGATACCTCAGAGTTATTATGTGTTGCATCTTTAAAATGAGTTGGCTGGCTGGTCTGCAACTGAACAATTAATTCTTGTAGACCTAGTCCTATTTCCTCCAGACCAAAATAACTCTTGTGATACTTGTTCGAGAGTCATTCAAGTGTTTTATAGTTTAATTTATTCTGTACCATGGCACTCAATAACCAGTCTGATTCCTTCAGATTATATTTATTACTTAAAGTTTTGAGAGTGCTCTCCAGTTTAACTCTAAACTGCTGTAAACCTTTGTAAGTGTGATCTGGAGATTTTAAATTAACAATAATATTCACTAGATCCAACCTACTTTGTTCTATATTACCATAAGTGACTTTCAACAAGTCAACTGCTTCCTTGTAAGAGTCATCTACATTGGGAAAGGCTTGTATGAGTATGTGAGCATCTCCTCTTACCTGTCCTTTGAGGTAAAATAATTTAGTTACACAGGCTAGGTCACTCCTATCATGCTTTAAAAATTGACCAAAATTCCTCCCAGTTTTCACTAGGATTAAATACTGGTAAACATAGTTCTGGGAGTTTTGGCAAAGACGTATTATTTGTTGGAGCAAACTGATTAACTGCCTGGTTTACACATTTTAATTTATTCAAGGACTTACTTTTACAAGAAAGAATCTTTTCCTCTAATTCATAATACTGATTAATCAGGAGATCTACTTTAGTCTCATTTACACAGTTTACTAACAAATCTCATTCATATTTGTTGTAATATAATTTGTATGAATCATATCTATTACCTAAAGCATCTAAATACAATTTTAAATCATCAGTATTCACAGTTTCTTGATTCATTAATTCCAAACATTTATTATATGCCTTGGATACATGACCCTTTCTAGCTTGCAGTGATGCTTTCTTTGCTCTATATTCCAAATGTTTGTCTTCTATATTAATTTCCTCATTTTCAGCCATGATGCAATGTATTAAATTCAACTTAATAACACTGATTATGTACTAAATTATGCACTTTATAAAGGTAAATAGTACAACTTACCTTTGAATAAATCCTAGCTACTTGAGATTAGCAATTACATACAAAAGATTGTAATATAAATTTTAAATGTACATTAATACAAACCTTTGGCCAGCCTTGGCTTATCAAAATTAATATTATACAAATTAATAAATCCTTTCCAGAATTTGGCATAGCAAAATTAATATTATACACAATATATATCAATTACACATACACTGATATAAATCTTGGCCAGAATTGTCTTATCAAAGTAATATTATACAAATTAATATAAACTTAGCCAGACTTGACTTATCAAAATTAATATTGTAATAATTATAATCCACTACACATTAAGTAAATTTGTGAACTTAACATCTACCTCCTGTCATTTCACATATAATTATTAAGTAATTAACTAATTAATGACTTCACTAATTACCTCCGGTTCAAGAAGGACCAACGGGCAAATTAAATGTGGAAAATTGCATTTATCTGAATGTATCATTATGTACACAACAGTAAATGAACAAAGATAATTATTATTTATCAGTTGGACAAGTAGAAATTTGGGACACCTAGGTCGCAAAAAGTGTCCCCCTTCGATACCTACCACTGTCATATCCACAAGTTGCTCTGGACCTATTAATTATAAATGAAATATACATACACCAAGAATGCTGGTAAATATATAAATTTGTGGACTGTATATTAAAATTAAAAAAATATTATATATAAACACATTTACATAACAGAAGGAAAATATCTTAATATCACTCACCAATTTGACTGGAAATTAATGTGTCATGTACAGGACCCTCCCTTTTGCCTACATTTATGAAAAATTTACTGGCCAGAATTTAAACATAAATTAGACAGCTTATCTGAGGTTCCTGGAGTTGTCCTGTCCTGTCGCCTGATATCTCAAGTTATGCAGGAATACACATCCAACAATTTCGTCTCCTATTTGAGAGGTGTCAACCCAATTTTAACCTCTAGAGCACGAAAAATTCTTCCCATTACACTAACGCTTCTAGTCCAAATTCAAACAAAATGGCGACTCCCTTCTATGCAGGCGCAGGCTCAGTTTCCCATTTTCTATGACATAAATATTATTAAATACAGTTTGGCCATCTATTTACATATAACTACTGTATTTCTGGAAAATATATACAGTATTTTCCACATTCCCAATGAACGAAATAACTGCGAAGATAAATACATAATTTTTTTTTTTAGGTGTCCCGTAGCTTGACAGGTAGCGCACTCATCTCACACACTGAGGTCCGGGGCTGGATCCCTGGTACAGCTGGAAACATTAGGACGTGTTTCCCTAAGAGATCTGCTGTCCCTGTTCAACCATCAGTAAAATGGGTACCTGGGTATTAGTGGACCGGTGTGGGTCGCATCCTGGGACAAAATTTATCTAATTTGCGGGAAATGCTCTGCATAACAAGGGGCTTTCTGTATAGTATACCTTGTACATGTACTTGTAGAAACAGTATTTCACTACAACAAATTATTAGTATCATTGCTCTAGTGGCCTGGTGGCTAACGCTCTCGCTTCACACGGCGAGGGTCTGGGTTCGATTCCCAACCAGAGTAGAAACATCGGGCGTGTTTCTTTCCACCTGTTGTCTATGTTCACCCATCAGTAAAATGGGTACCTGGGTGTTAGTGGACTGGTGTGGGTCGCATCCTGGGACACTGACCTAATTTGCCCGACATGCGGAGCATAACAAAGGACTTTCTATATAGTAGTATGTCATTGTTGTCAGCTAGGACTGCATACCTTGTACATGTACTTATAGTAAATAAAGATTATTGTATGCTCACTTCCAGTGAATAAATATCATTGACGGCGTATATAGAGAAAATCCCAGCCAAATATCAATTTTATATGAATCACTAAGTACTACGTTGTTGGTGAATACTGTTATATATTATATATTAATGCATAATTAGTTGTTTACTAAAAAAAACTTTTTTTTTTATTACAAAAACATTAAAGCTGAATTTTTGGCGTTCGAATGCCATCAAACTAATACAACACAACATGTTATCTAGTTTATTTAAGTTACCTGACTATGTTAGAATATAGAATGATGATATTTGTTGATGGACACGTAGAGGGTTAACAAATTTGACAAGTGGGATTTGAAATCAAGTTATTTGAATTAATTGTGAAAGGTAGAAGCGGTGTTGGACGCCATTGCGACGCGGTAACGCTACCGTCTCTGCCCACCCGTCTATACCGCATTCTCACCCTATATAACGTATTTACAGTGAGTACACACGCTATAACATGCACTACAGCACACAGCCTTCTTCTGTATATAGTGTAATACGCTCTAGTTATTGTGTGTTGCTGCTGAGAGGCTGTCTAGCCAGCTGAGTAACTAACCCGCCATAGCCATGCTAGACTAATTCCACGGAGTATAATTCATTGTTTGAACCGAAGCTCTAGTGTTCTTTTTATGCAGTCTTCGCCGATTTAAGGCCCTGTTGACTGATAGTCTTGTGTTAGTTTAGTTTCATGTACACTATAAATAGTATAGACGGTGTGCGTGTTTTATTATCCATCCACCTCAAAAATATTATGGCTTAGATTGTCACTGATGTTTTGTGTCAGTGTCTTCTTATATCAACATTGTTATTTAAGACAAGCAAAGCATTTATTATTCTACTCAGTAATCCTGTTGTCAAATGCATCACAAAGTCAAATTGTAGATAATAAATTGGAGTATGTCTTTATTAAATCTTTGAATCTATATATAAATGCCAGGCATACATTAACAGCTGTTCATGCTACTCAAAATACTTGTACATTAATGCTGATTCTGACTTTAGATAATTCTTCATGGAAAAAAATTTAACAATGCATAGGCAGATATATATAGCTCTAATATTTCTTGTTTTCACCTGAACTTTTCGAGAAACTTGATGCAAATAAGAGAGCCAGAAGTGTGGAATAACTTGACATATGAATTAAAAAATATAATTTTATGAATAAAAAAAAGCATTAGTCCTTATCAATCCAACTAGTATGATTAAAAGTATATAGTTAACCAGACGAAATATAGAATTATGATGAATTGAAACAAATACTCAAAAAAACACTATCATAATTCAATAATTTTTACACTGTGTATACAGTATTCCTGAAACTAATCTCTCATTCTAATATAAAAACTGCTTGGTCTTTTAATCAGTTATAATTTTGTACAAAAAAATCATGTAATTGCTTTTAAACTGTTTTTATTTCCTGTCATTACCCTGTGCTAGACTCAAAAGCTTAGAAAACTTCACATCGAAGAAATCCTTATAATATTAAGTAGTTTTACTCCAAGTCTAAGTTGCCCAAAATGGCAGACTGTAGCAAGAGCTTTTTAAGTGGTTTTATGTGCAGTGTAATACTCTTAAGAATTACATTTTCAATTTATATATTTTATTTCAGTCATACCATAAATCTTAAATTAAAATTTAGTCATTCAGTAATTAAATACTGTATGTGCAAAATGTATTTCCAGACAGAACAGGTTTATCAGAATTAGAGATGTCATCCCGTGCACATGGAAGAGGTCATCGAGGTATTGGAGCACGAATAGGGTATGTGCCACGAGGAGGTGGACACTGGACTGGTCGTGGAGGCCAGCGAGGAGGAAGATCAGATTACTATCCTTCAAATCATGGGGGTCGATCACCTCGTCCATTCCAACGACAGGCTGATCCTGAGAAGCTTCTGGCTTCATTGGGGCCTGATGCACAGTTGGCTCTAACCACAGCAATTATTAATTCTGTGCTTAAGACTTCAGTGAGTGTTAATAGGAAGTTTTATTGTACAATATATAATTAAAATGTTAAATTATCCAGTATGCTGCTTAAATGTTTAAGTAAGGACAGTTGCAATACTGTGTTGAGTACTATTTAAAATAACTAAGAATGTGCACCTGTTTTGACATGCAATAAGTACAACTGTTTGGACATGTATAAAATGTTATTCGGTGTACGTGGTGTAAATGGATTTTTTGAAAAATTCTTGCTTAGGAAGAGAAAGAAGGCCGTGGCTCATTTCGGGACAACCGGGACCTGAGTTACCGCCTCCAGAGAGAGAATCGTCGTGAAGGTCGGGGAGGATATTACAGGGTAAGTTGTTTTTGCTTTGAATTTTATTTATTTATTTACTGCATTTCAAAATCAATTAAGTGGAGGCATTTGGTGTAGTTAGCAAGTAGGACATAATTAAGAGTGGTCATAAAATTTGCACTTCCATATGAAATACTTAATATAACGAGGTATGGTTAATTGTGCTGGTGAGCTGGCAGAGACTAATAATTTTTAAATATTTTTTTATAGTGATAAGGATCCTTGGTAAGTCTCTGTACCTCATTAGTCCACATAAAGCCAGAAGAGAAGTTGACTTTAAATTGATCCTTACGTAAAAAAAAAGTTAATATTCAAGCTCATGGAAGCACACTTTATCACTCTACATTTAACAGGACCCTAAAGCCTCCAATGAGATTGCTTCTTGATGAAAATGTAAATGTAGAAAATATGGGGATTATTTGTCTTTTTGAAATAGACCAATCAGTATTGAGAAAGTAACTTGCCATGTCAGATCTTGGAAGATAAAGCAG